AAAATAGTGAAATGAAAAAAATAATTTATAAACTATAGTTATGAATATAACAGTTGTAATAATAATAATAATAATAATAATAATAATAATAATAATAATAATAATAATAATAATAATAATAATAATAATCACATTGAAATATATCATTTTTAAAGTAATTAGTTGAGGAGTTGAAAGAATTTGAAGAAAATGAAAAAAGTTGGAAGCTAAGAAACTGGAAGGAACTGGAAGAACTGGAAGAAACTAGAAGAAACTAGAAGAAACTGGATGTTAAAAGTTCAAACCCTAAAGAACAGGCTCTAAATCTAATTAATAAATTTTTTTTTGAGAATGTGTTAAAAACTTTAAAAAAGCTAAATTAACTCAAAAGAATATTATGGAGTTGTTTGAAATAAACTAAAGACGAATGTGAATGTATTTATATTTTGATATTCTTTTATATTTTGATATAAAAGTATTTAAATTTTATTTTGGTTAGAGTCATGTGGGATGTTCTAATTTTTTTATAATAATATTTTTATCAGAACGGTTATAGAGTCACAACTCCAGATAACACTACAGTGTCACTATCTTTTTTTGGGGCAGGTACAATGTTTTATTTACAAAATTGATAGAGTATTGTAAATGTTCCGTATGTCAATTGGAGCCGGTGTCATTGAGAACCACTTATTTAATTTCTAGAACCCCTCCATATTTTTATGGGGTAATAAAACATTTGATACTGAGGCCTCGTTCCGTTCGACTTATTTTTTCTTATTTTTTCTTATTCTTATTAAAATCAAATCAAATCAAATCACACCTGATCAAATCAGATCAGATCAGATCAAATCAGATCAGATCAAATCAGATCAGATCAGATCCAATCAGATCAGATCAGATCAAATCCAATCAGACCAGATCAGATGAGGACTTATTAAAATCAGATCCCATCAAGAATTATTATTATTATTATTATTATTATTATTATTATTATTATTATAATTATTATTATTATTATTATTATTATTATTATTATTATTATTATTATTATGAACATCATCATCATCATCATTATTGTTCATAAAAATGAAAAAGAATAAACTTTAGAAATAGGTTAAATAGAAAACTGAGAAAGTAATCCTTAATTATTAGACGTCGGAAAAATTAGTTTTAAAATACATTGACAATGTCAATCTAATTCTACTTTTAAAATATATTTTTATTGTTACTTGTAATTTGTGTTTCTAAAGTTTTGATCTTTTATAAGGATGAGATATTTTAATAAAAATACTATCTCTTCAAATATATTGATTATCTAAATTTAATTACTTTTTAATGTATATTTAAATTAAATATTTATTCTAATGTATATATGAAGTAATTATTAAAATATTAAATTAATATTCTAATTTCAAAAAAAAATAATCATGTAATAAAAAATATTATTACATTATAATCATTAAATAATTTTATTTTATTAAAAAATAATTTTAATAAAATAATCATTTTATTAACTAATTTTATTTTATTAAAAAATAATCATTAAATAAAAAATATTGATTATATTATAATATGAATTATCATTACAATTTTCAAACATATTATAAAGTCAAATCAAATTATTGATTTAAAATTTTAAATTAAATCATAATTAATCAGATCAGATCAGACCAGATCAGATCAGATCAGATTAGATCAGATCAGATCAGATCAGATCCAATCAGATCAGAACTTATTAAATTCAGATCTGATCAGAAAAAATAAGTTGATCGGAACGGAGCCTGAGTTTGACCGGCCTGAACAATTTAGGTTGGGCTGCATCCCCGCTCGCCGAAACTGTCGCCTTACTCGGTTTGCCTAAGATTTATACAGAAGTCGGAAGCCCATTTAGTAAAGGGCGTTGACATCAAAACCCCGGTAGATGATTATTTTTAATCATATTCTGATTATATTTATACTACAAGATGTTTCGGTTTTAATCTAATTTGAATAAGAATAATTGAATAAGTAGTAAATAATTAGAACAAGTTGAAGACAATAACGTGTTGGTACACAACCACTCCTCTACATTTTTTTATCCTCCTAATATTTTGCTAAACACTTTATTTTTTCATAACAAAATTAAATTACATTATCGTTGAACTATTTTAGTGTTTACGGATTATATGCGTTGAATCTTCGAATTTTTTTTGTTTGTCCCAAAATAATTTTATTCACTTTTTATATCCTTTTTTCTGGAAAAGAATATGTAGTCTAAAAATATAATTTGCACTTCCAAAAAAATTCCACCACTTATTTAATTATTTTTCACGTAAAATTTTTTCAATACTTCTCCTTAAACTTCAAAAACTAAACATGAGAAAAGTAATTTGGGATGAGAGACCATGATGTCAAGGAACCATCTCAACCACAAGCTCAAGCTTTGTGGTTGTTGACCCAGGAAAGGTTATATATACTTACACGCCCCCTCACGTGCAGGCGTAGTCTTTTTCGAGCCTTGCACGTGAAACCTTAATTTTTTTAAAACTGGGTGGCGCTAAGTTTCCCACATCGAAAAATAAAGATGAGTATCACTTGCATATATTGAAGGGTGAAGCCCTACCTATCAGCTTAAGCTTTTGGGTTAGAATTGTGGATCCCGACTTTATATGCAAGTGGTTAATTTTACCCGACACTCTATCCGTTGTTATCGGCCCGCCGGAATTTTAACATGGTATCGGAGCAGGTCTGGTCCGGGTTTGATTGTTCCTGGTTGTTTGGATGTGGGTTTAGCAAAAAAAAGAGCTACCCCGTCTGTGGTTTGGGCTGAGTTGGCTAAAAAGAGATTGAGTTGCCACCGCCCATTGTGTGGGCTAGCTATAAGAGATTGAGATGCTAGACCCGTTTGTCCCAGTGCTAACTAGGCCAGGCTAGTTACCACTTGCGGGGAGTGTTGAATTCCCACATCGAAAAATAAAGATGAGTATCACTTGCATATATTGAAGGGTGAAGCCCTACCTATCAGCTTAAGCTTTTGGATTAGAACTGTGGATCCCGACTTTATATGCAAGTGGTTAATTTTACCCGACACTCTATCCGTTGTTATCGGCCCGCCGGAATTTTAACAATGAAGAATAAAGTAGCAACTGTAATTTGCAGGAAAATATATTACTCTCTATTTAAAAAAAATTGAAATATATATTCTAAATTATAAAAATTGTAGTTTGAAAAAATTATGAACAAATATATGCTTTTATGTATTCAAAATATATATTTCAAAGAAAAAAATTAATAACTAAAATGTAAAATAATTAAACGAAATTTAAATACTCCTTTTATAATCATAAATAAATTAACAACGAAAGAAGTAATATATGAACAGTGATTTAAAAAAATAAACTAGATTTTGAGAGTTTTAAAGATAAAGATAAAATTTAAAATAATACGAAATATTTTTCTCTCATAGTTTTCTTTTCTTATTTGGATTGTCCTTCTTCTGATATCCTTTTAAGAAAAAAATAAATACATCGTATGGTTTTATTGGGCTCTTAATTTTTTGTTTATGGCCCATCATTGTATTTTGGGTTTGCCCGAATTTGTTATTGGGCCGTTTTGTTCAGCACTTGTAGAGATTATATTAGCGCCTATAACTCTGGGCCATTGGGTAATTGTAACAAATACTCCAAAATATATTTTACATACAGATCCAGGATTGAGTTTAAATTTGGGGACTCCAAAGATAGTTGGGCTTGTCCACCTAAAATTAGATTTCTCCCATATTTTACATAGGTAAATTGTATGGTGGACCTAAGGTTCACCTAAAATAATTGTTTGGGTAAAATAATTATTTTTTACTACTTAAATAAATATTTATTTTTTTTAAAATAAGCACTTGCTTAACATTAATTTTCTAAAAACACCCTTTTTAACCATGGGGTCTGCATTCTGTGTCACAAAAATCCTTCTTCTTTGTTTTATTATTCGTCTCAAATGACCTTTCTCATTTTTATTAAAAACACTTTTATACTTGTTAATTCTTAACTTATTATCACATCACATCTATTTATTATTAATCTACCCATAACATCCTACTTTTATTCATCATATCCAAAGAATTTTTAGAAAATTAAAATCAAAACACATTCCCCTTAAATTCTTTAAAAGTCAAAACCATAAGGACTTTATAGGATGAAAAAAGCAATTTTTTAGCCAATTTTTTACGAATTTGTGTTTGATCACCTCTCAAAAAGTCTCATATTAATAAAAATGGGGTTAAACTATATATCTTAGTTAAGTGTTTCCTTTGCCTTTGATGTGGGACTTGTTTCAATTGTGTGCTACCAACAAACCTCCCTTAAACTAGGAACATACAACATGCTACCTCCCCTTCAGTGTTACTACCCAATGAGACACATCGTCCAACAAGAACACTTTCGACACAATGTACTATCTCCATATCTCTTCTGGTTTTGTTCGTGTTGTCACGTGGAGAACTCAAAAAACCTGTCCTCGCACAACACAGTCCATTGGAAACAGGTGAACTTCAAACACGGACTTTGTTAGCACATATTGGGACTCTGCGTACCTCACCAACCTTGTATTAATAAGATATTGTATTGTTTCGACCAAATCTTCACAAATTTGTTTTATGTGCCACCGAAAAGGCACCGTAGTGATGAGTTTTTGTTGAATCTACTTAAAGTGGTTAATTTCTTCTTTGCCTCCGGTGTGGGACTTGTTTGCCACCAACACATATTTGGGAACTATTCGAGGAGTGTTTTTGATTATTTATGAAAAGGAATCGTTGGACCTATTCAACCAAAACTTCAAACTTATGGTTATGTTCTAAGAAAATTTTTTATATTCTAATACATCCATCACGTGCATGTAAGATTTGTTTTTTGCACGAACCTTGCACGTGAACATTAACTTTTTAAAATTGAATCGCGATGTGTTTGAAACTCGTGACTCTTGGCAACCAAAGCCCCGATACCATGACACGGAACCGATTCAACCAAACTTATGGTTCAAATATGCTCAAGAAAAACACTCGAGATTCATTCATATGGTTCAAATATGCTCAAGAAAAACACTCGAGATTCATTCATTTGGGACCAACGTGACCCTCGAGTCCACCATGATCATAACGGGTGTCCATTTCCCTTTATCCGGAGTAGTTTTTTGCACTTTGAGATCCATAAATGTGACACCCTCTCATATCCACCATTGTCTCTCATCATTGCTTTGGCTTCATCATTATACATAAATAAATAAAAAGTACTATCATATCTCATGAGAGAGCCCAATACCATTTTTTTCGTGAGTAAAAATCATTATAGAGCCCTCAAAGGGATGGAACCAAACCTATGACACTACTCTTTTTTTACATAACAAGTAAAGTTTATTGATGGTACCCGAATTTTGAACGATATATTATTTTGATACGGAGTATACAAAATTTAATTCTGTCAGCAAAAATATATGAACTTTGAAAAAGTTTCACAAAGGTACTTGAAATCAGTTTTCAATTTACTTTGAGGGTCACTTTGACATGTATTTCTTTTTCTTTTTCCCATATTCACTCACTTATTGAAAAGGGGGGAAGTGGGACTCCGAAAAAATATTTTTAATTCATCTTGATTAATACCGGAGTAATTGGTTTAGAGAATAAATTCTTTTAAATACTACCGAGTAATATAAATAAATATATTTGAAAATTACAAAATATGTCTAAAACTCTACAAAATAATCCAAACTATGTGACATACTTGGTATATGATTATATTATTTTATTACTCCCTCCGTCCTATAATGATCTTCCCGGTTCGCAAAACGAAGAAAAATCCCAAATTTTTTCAATCTATTTTATTTAAATATTGGTATAGAAATAAAAAATAAAACATACATATTTAAAAACTACACCAAAAGTTCAACAAAACAAGTGGTGACAAGAATATTTTATTTTATCATATAGGTCATGAAAAAACATAAATAAATATAAATTTCCGTGAAGTTGGAATAATGCTTTGGGAAGATCATTATGGGACGGAGAGAGTATATCATAACAATAAAAATTTATGAATAAAGATGGAATATGATAAAATTTGATATATGAACATTAAGTTGGAAGATTTATATGGGAGGGAGGAGAAAGAGTATATAACACCATGCATTAAAAAGCGAAAAAAACTATCAATAAGTTCATATTAATTTGGTTGATCCCTAAAAGGCTAAAACTAATAACATCTCCCCAATTTAAAAATACAAAAAGAAGAAGATGAAGAAGAAGAAAAACAGAGAGGCCACGGATGAATCCTTGAAGGGGGGNAGAATTGGAATCCTTGCCTCTGGAAATGGCCTTTCCACTCCCATTAGTGGGGCCCGCGGCAAGCCTGTGCTTCAGCTCCTTCAGCAGTTCTTGATTTTCTTGGTTCAGGAGCTCCGCTTTCTTCCTCAGCCGCTCATTCTCCGCCATTATGTAACAGTTCTCCAGATACAGTTTCGAGTTTATTCTCTCCATTTTAATTTTCCCTGTGAAGACAAAAAAAAAAAGAAACAGGGGAATATGAAACAGATGATTGAAAAAAAGACACTTATTTGAAGAAGAATTCTTGGGCGGGGGCCACTGGGGTGTAAGTAAGAAGATGAGAACTTTTCTTTTTTTTACCTTGGGATGTGAAAAGCTATGGGTTTTTCTTGTGATTCTTCTATGTGTTTGGCAGTAGAAGTAAACAAAGAAGAAAAGGCAGTTGCAGAGAAGAAGAAGAAGAAGACAGAGATGGAAGTGGAGTTTGGGAAAAAACCAGAGGATGAGGTCAGTATATATATAGCTGCAAAAGGGAGGTAAAGAGGGGGGAGGGAGGATCTTTGAAAAGGCAGACAATTTGGGCTGTGTCTGTAGTTTTAGTGATGTGGGAAGGGGACAAATGGTGTGTTTTGTCATTGTGACCAAATACTGCAATTTTTTTTTCTTATAAAAGAGCCAACTGCCCTTTACCATTTAATTCCTTTTGATTAAATTTATTTTCAATTGAATTTATTTCAATGTTGGTGTACTGTTTTTTTTTAAAAATACATACCTAGTATTTCTCTGTTCGTTTGGGTTGTAAAAACATAGTTGAATGTTAAAATAAATTAGCAGAAATTGAAAGAAACTGGAAGTAATTAGAAGAAATTTGAAAATTGGAAAAAAATGGAAGAGTTGGAAGAAATTAAAAAAAGTTTGAAAGAAACTGAAAGAAGCTGGAAAATGTTAGGAAAACACAAAGTATTAAAAAACTCACTCAAATAAAAATCACCCAAATAAATATGTAAAGAACTAATTTTTGATAAAAAAAATATTGAACTCACCTTTGTCCGCGTTTGAGGTGGTATGTTTTAAAACTTGCAATATTTTTTTTAGTCATTCTTGAAAGAAAACTGAAAGAAGTTTGAAGATACTAAAAAGAGTTAAAAGAAACCAGAACGCATTAGAAAAAATTGAAAGTTAACTTTTCTAACCAAAATGAGACCCTACACAATACAAGTAGTTTAAAACTAAATGTAACCAAAAGGGGGTGTGAAATGTAATTACAAAAATTCATAAATTATGAATTTCTTTGAGATTTTATCACACAATCAATTTGTAATAGAAAGAGCAAGGCCAATAGGCCATGTTCTTCCTACTTTATTTTTTTTATTTATTACTTATTTTTATGAGAAATTTACCTAAATAGGACTAAAACATAATGACTTTCTCAATATAGGACCATATATTTTTATTTCTCAACGTAGGACCTTTGGTCATTATGAAGTAGTCATTATTCAATTAAATGTCCATCATTACTGGACATTATTCCTCCCACTAGGTCATTATTAAGTCCTATTTAGGGAATAAAAAAGTTTAAGTCCTACATTAGGAAAGTCATTATGTTTTAGTCCTATTTAGTGCAAATTTTACTATTTTTATTGACTATTTTTCATGTAAAATAATTTAAACATAAGTTCAGCTAAATATCAGAACATGTAACGAGATATAATTTTTGAAAATTTGGATGGGTGGAGGTTAGTGTGTAGAATGATGGTTTGAGGGAAGGCGGCTGGGAAGAGGGAGGGGCAAGGGGGGGATTTATTTAATGTACTGTAGCATTTGTTGATTGTACCCCCGTTTCGTTGTACTGTCATGATTGTCTGCTAGGTGGCCGCCCAAGTACTCTACTACTGCTACTACTTCCATTGTTTTTATGACGTGGAAATTAATCGGAGCATTCCTTTATTTTCTTCCTTAGGTAACATAATTTTTCTTTTTTAAAAAAAATTAGGTGACGCTTAATCTTCGAAGTAGCATTTTAGGTGCGCGACACTTTATGATAGATCTTGTACATTTTAGTGCTCGCACTATGATTTTGTAATTCACGCACTAGTGTAGTACGTTCGTGGTGCACTTTCATTCCTTTTATAAATGAATTGTGCTAAGGATACATCATTTTTACACCACTATTCTTTACTATACATTTTTTTGTTAATTTATTATTTTTTTATATCAACACCAAAAATGTATGGTGGAGAATGCTTGGGGTACACTAGTGATACACAGTACATTTTTTAATGTATACCTAGCATTTTTGTTTATAGATAGTGATATAGTTTAACTTAACAACTATTAATCTCAAAATATCTCTCAAGAATTAGAGAAATAATAATGAATAAAAACAAGAATATTGAACTCAAGAATTATAATGAAAGAGCTTACCATATACAAATTCTTTAGGTATTTATAGCTACACGGTCCAGCCCACTAAGCACCCCTCACCACGAAGACAGGTTTACCCCGTTTAAGTGGCAAAGAAGCTTCCATGTGAGGAGAAGAATCCATATTCGATTTCCATGTAAGAGAATTCTTTTTGGGCTAGTTCTTAGATCTCGTGGTTTACAAAAAAAGGATGTGGATACTCATTGAAACGGTCTAAAACAAAATTTTACCATTCAAAACAAAAATATTCCCTCCGTCCCACTATATTTGTCCACTTTCATTTTTGCACACTATCCAATACACTTCTTTAATCCATTTTATCTTCTAATTTGTATATTAAAAAATTATAGAAATTATATATTAATAATCTATATGTTAAGACAAATCAAACAAGATCACGCATGACTATATTTAGGCCTACACATTGAGAGAATTTGATAAGTCAAAGTGCTTAGATAAACAGTTCCTAAAGTCAAAAGTAGACAAATATAGCGGGACGGAGGTAGTATACATTATGAGGACGAGACCAAAATATTTTGAAATAGGACAATGGGGTCAAGATTTTTCTCTTACCTCTAAGTAAAATTATACTCAAACTAGAATACATGTGGAGAATATAACATCTATCTTATTTATATTTGTTTCTTCTTTGATTACAATGGAAGGGCCTCTTCTATATGGAAGAATAAAACTAAAACAAGAATTTTCCTTAATAAAATTGTGCTAGTTGAATTGAACAAGGCAAACCTAACAAATAAAGTATGCACATGCGAGCAAAGAAGCAAAAAATCCTCCAATAATTTGTTTCTAGAATATCCATTATATTATACCACAAAAAAAACCCTATTTTAGAGTATCTTTGACACAGCTCGAAGAGTTACTTAAAAATAGGTAAATAAAGTTTTAATCTCAGAGACTAGTAAGCAAGAATGGTTCTAACACTGCTCATGCTAGAACGTGAAGATTTCGAACATCCAACCACAACTCAAACTATTGTATATGTTTGAATATAAAAAAACTTTCATAGGCTAGAAATACAAGCATTTGGCTGATTTGATTCTTTGTCATGGTATTAGAACCTTGTTGACTTCGAGGTCACGAAGTCAAATCTCACTGCTCCCCATTTTCAAAAAAGTAATTTTTACGGGCAAGGTTCGGGCAAAAACAAGTCTTGCCTGCACGTGAGGAGGTGCGCTATAATATTAAAAACCTTTCCTGGCTTGCATTCACAAATTAAATGCGAGCTTTTGGTTGAGTTAGTTCCTTGATACTACGTACACCACCACATTCACAACATTGTTACACTGCAACTATCACGCTACCATCCGTTGTTGTCGCTCATCAGAGTATTACCGCCAATTACTGACAATTGACTGATCACACTAGCATATTATACTGTCAACAAATTTTTCATCACAATGATAACGTGTACACGTAGATCGCTCTACTATTTTACTCCAATTTTTGTCTTAAAAAACTTAGGAATCATATATATTTTGATATTTTCATACTCTTTTATTCTTATTCAGTGAGAATCTTTCATGTAGTTGTTTGCTACATAAATTTTATTTTTAACATTTACACCTACAAGCAAATAAATTGAATAAAAAATAAAATCTATCAAACTTGAATTGGGTAATGAGAGGATGTGGGGACGGAGGAAGTATTTAAAAGCTTATCTCAAACCAAAAGAAATTGCAATGTCATCTCCACTTTTGATGAGTTTGAGGCGAGAATCCTTTTGCTTGACGCATTTTAGCGTTGCAAGATGGAAAAGAATAATGAGGGTTAGTCTTTAACCTACACTTACTATTTAGCTCATGATGAAATTTTATTTTGGCTTTTACATTAAATACTACCCTCTCTTTCCCACAATTGAATTTTGATGTCTTTTTGGAATATGTAATTTATATTTTTTTTATTTTTATACTAATTAATGAATTATGTATTTTTTAAAAAAGAAGATTTTTATCTTTTCTTTATACGATTTTCGAAAAAATAAATTTATTTTTCTTATAATCGGTGGGGAAATGTTTGGTTCACAAACCCAAACTTCACAAACTTACCATTTGTGAACTTCAATAAAAAAATTAAATAATCTAAAATAATTTTAAAATGAGAATTTAAACCATAAATAGCAAATTTGTGGAGTTTGTGATGATTCTGTTTGTGAACGTAGCATTGCCCTAATCGGTGATTCGATTATGAAACTTTTTTTTATAGAGTATGATTAATAGTAATGATGGTACCAATAATCATAATTATTTGGCTTTACCGAGTACGGAGTATATTACAAGACATAAGATTAACATTTTTTTCGTTTAAATATATATATGAAATCAAATGGTTAATGATGACATAATGAGATTGATCTAGGTTAAAGGATGAGTTTTGGGCCAAGGAGTATGAGTATATTAACGTGAAGAACATCATATCATATATAGCTTTTGCCAGATGTGTTTTTGGATAGCCCATTGCCCCATTATAGATTATTCATATTGTATGTTTTGTAACATACTAACATTCTTGCCAAGCTTAAGCTAATCTCGTGTATTTTGTTCCTTTCATTATTATGAACATGGCAACTCATTTTCCATGACACTAATGATTCAATTCCACATAACTAGAAAATAAAAAAAAGTTTCACGGAGTTAAATTTAACAAGCAAGCTATGTATAATTAGAGACGGTTCTCATAAATTTATGTGTCATTTTTTTTTCGTTTAAAAAAATGGTACAAAAAATGTACGAGATATGGACAGAAGTTGTGTGGGGGGTGGGGGTAAGGGGTTTAGGATATACATATGAAAATGATGGCAAAACCAAGCTAATAATGGCCTTTAGTAGGAACGCTAATGACTAATATAATTAAGCTAGTACATAGTGATGGTGTTTAAGTACACATAGAGCCAATTAAATTTAAATCTTTATTACAAAAAAGAAATTAGAGCTTTGTTTTAATTAATGATTGTATGGGGGAGTTATTTTCATAAATTAAAGTGATATTGGGGGGGGGGGGGGTATGGTAGCAGTCATCAAAAGATTTGCATGGCTATAGATATCCATCATCATCATTTATTCCATCCCCCATCCATTGAGTGCCCATCATCGCCTTCTACAATTGCCTATCATTACCATTATGGCCTTAGCCACCTAAAGTTTAAAGATCTCTCCCCTTCTTATCATCCCATTTGTCCCCCTCTCCATTTACTCCCCTATTCAATTCGTTTTGGAGAATTAAATTCGTTTTGGAGAATGAACTCCCATATAATTCCCTATTAGAGCATCCACAGTGGTAGCACCTCTAATTAGATGCCCAAATGTGAGCTTTATTTTAAAGATAGCATTGGAGCATCTCTTTAAACATCCAAACCTTTTAATAGTGACATCTCATTGAGATGCCTTGGGTGAATCCTATTCACATATAAATGCCATTTTTATGTTATTAATTATGGATTTTTGTATTATATATACAAGTGTTAAATATGGAGTAATTAATTATTAATTAAAAGATTTTTAAGAAAAAAATAGTGTAAATAATTAAAAATATTATCAATGACTTTTTTTATTGTTAAAAAATTTTGATTAAAAAATTAAAGGCACGGTGGTATTACTAAAAATAAAATAGGGTGTCATATTTTTTTATGGAGTATTTATTTATTTATTTATTTTGTGCACATCATACTCAATCAAATGAAAGACTATTTCAAACAGATTTATGGCAAACCAAGGCTAACAATTTTTTATNCATTGAGATGCCTTGGGTGGATCCTATTCACATATAAATGCCATTTTTATATTATTAATTATGGATTTTTGTATTATATATACAAGTGTTAAATATGGAGTAATTAATTATTAATTAAAAGATTTTTAAGAAAAAAATAGTGTAAATAATTAAAAATATTATCAATGACTTTTTTTATTGTTAAAAAATTTTGATTAAAAAATTAAAGGCACGGTGGTATTACTAAAAATAAAATAGGGTGTCATATTTTTTTATGGAGTATTTATTTATTTATTTATTTTGTGCACATCATACTCAATCAAATGAAAGACTATTTCAAACAGATTTATGGCAAACCAAGGCTAACAATTTTTTATAGTATCACTACAAGTTAAGAAAAAGAAAAGAAAAAAAACTTAGGAAAATGGGTTTGTATAAAAAAAATGGTAAAGATTTTTTCCGGGGAAAAAAAGAGACACAAAAATGAAAAGAAAAAAAGATTAAAAAGAGAGTGTACTATTAAAAAAAGCTTATTTTACAAAAAATAAAAGAATGCACACATGATTTTGAATGCTAGCATCAGGTGCTCTCTTGAGCATCTCTCACTCTCTTTCTTCTTTGAACACATCCTCTAAGCACCCATCTCCAATAGTGGCACCTTTAAACATCTTCTTCTCTCTCCTTTGAGCATCTCTTTTGGGCATCCCATTGGAGATGGCCTTATAAAAATGAACTCTAACCGTTTTTTATCTAAATACCTACAATACTTCAAGTGTAAAATTGAAAATTCCTACTTGAAAACTTGATAGTGTGTTTTTTTTCAATATACATTCTAGATCTTAAAATAAAGTTTACATTTTTGACTTTGCAAATTTAAAGAATGAGTGAAAAGGTGAAAGGTGTTTCGTAAAACAAGTGAAAAACTTCTGCTACTTATCACGATGAGTCACTTAATGTATGACGCACCTGCCCCCTGCCCGATGAAACATTATGTTGGCATGAGATATTAGAAGAAGGAAACTGAATCCTTATGAGATTCGATTTAGTATCTTTCCTTATTTGCTTAGTTTTTGTTTTAGCAGGAATACAAATTTTCTTGTTTGCTTTTACCCTCTACCTATATATAAAAAGGATTGAATCTTTGTATTTACAACACAATTCAATTCATAAATTTTCTCCTCCTATTATTTTTCTACAATTTCCTTCTTCTAATATCTCAAGCAAACACATTTGAATAATAGTTGCCAGTAAAACTATTTGATTAAGAATTCAGGCTTTAACTTGATCAAACTTCATTCAAACACGACATTTAGACTTTTACAATGAAGG